CCTACACACTTTTTCTCTCACTCCCCTTTGCCTGCTTGCTTTGACCATACCTCTCCTTCCCAAGCACAAGGCTCTCTGAATCCAAAGGTAGAACTGCAGTTTAATGATGTTTCCTGTCTGCACAGAACTGTGCATTCTGTTTTGATTCTTCTGCTTATTATTCCTTGCAAATCAGCCCCAAACGTAGGTATAATCTCATCAATAACATCTCCATGTAACCCCTTCTTTATTTCCTTCTGCATTAAGTCACGCTCTCTTTCATTTGTAAAACAGCTATTTGTTTCAATGATAAATCACCACTACTCTTTTTTCTCTCTCCTTCCCTTTTAAATTATAACATTTTTTAAATCTCTTAGCTACTTTCGACTTGCTGACTTTTCCTTAATATATTGAGTACTTTGAGGGCAAGGGTATTGGAGTTATTAATAATACATACGTATGTGTTTTAGCTGATTCCTAGAATAGTTTTGAAATTTAAGTGAGATAATACATGGATTGTACTTAATACATACTATAACCATATAACTAACTATCGACCGTTATTGATGTTATGACTTTTAGATAAACTTCCTGTTGTAATTATAATATAAATTTATAAGTTTGATATATTTCTTTCTGATAGAGTCTACATTTGTTCTGAAGTTTCTTTTCAAAAGAAGTATTAATTATAAAGTGTTCACAAATTTAGATGAAATAAAAGTTAAATATATGCACAAATACTTTAAATATGTGTGTGAAATATGTGCTACAGAAAGTTCAATTCTGTCTCATAATTTCCTCAAAATGTTATTATTGGAAAATTTTATTACAGCACCATTATTAAATTAATTTACACTATACAACATGTTCAATCTAAATTCCAATTTAGAAATGATAGAAAATACTAGCTCAGTTATAAAATCCATTTAAAAATATTAACATTTCTCCATGCTTTTACAAAATTATTGTACTAGTTTTTACTGAGGTTTTAATACATTTATCCAAAATATATTACATATAGATCATGTTGTCATAATAGCTGCATGCTAATTTAATTAATCCACAAGTAATTACCTTCATGACTCCACTATTCCATCTGTTTCTATATTGCTGGATCTTACAGGGTTATTTTCTCTTCTGCTTGCTTGCTAATACATCTTATCATGAAATTTCTTTAATAATCTGCCTTTTCTGAAGCAAACGACTCCATTGCTTAAGGTTATAAATATGATAGTAGCCAAAGGACAGCCTGGTGAGAAGAAAAATTTAGGTTATCCAGGTTTGGAGTAATGCCATCCCTTCATTCTCTTTAGATGGCCTGTCGTAGCTGTCGTGAACATATAGGGGTACTACAGGTTTCTATAATGTTGCTAACTAAAGCTTGGGTGACATGGCCATAACGCTGTCCATAAGTACAGAGAATCAGAAGAAACAGACACAGACACATGTCAGTGCGTGCGCCGGCACATCACATCATTGCTCACAGCAGGGGACTTCCAATCCAAGTAACCATGGCATCTTTCACATAGAACATTGTTGCATTTCCGTACATCTTTATTCCATTCAAAATGTTATCAGCATTTCTTGTTATAAGAGTATCATTATTTGAAGAATAATATTAGAGGCAAGTATGTTCATGAGGTTAGAAGAAAATATACTGAAACACAAGTCTGTAGAATTCGAACATTTTAATTTAAATTTGAATCTAGGAGAAAAACAAGGGTTGAAAAGGCAGGTAACTCGTTTAAGTCATTCACTTTTCTGATAAGAATATAATTCATACAGTCAGGTGTCATAAGGTATTTATATTGGGACCAGCATGTAGCATAGTGGTTAAGGTGCTGAACTTCCACATGGTTGACCATGGTTTGAGTCCCAGACCTGATGGCTTGAAAATCATGCCAGACACCATGTGCATGTGTGCCCAAAATCCCAACGAGAGAATGGAGGAATATGGATTGTGGTGAGAGCTTCTCCCCTGGGAGATAATTTCCCACTTTCCTTCTTTCTGTCTCTCTCCATCTCTCTCTGGTGAGTGCACATCCTCTACAAAAACCTAATGTTTATATATATGAATATTATATATATAATTATATGTATTATAAATATTATATTTATAAATCTTTCCCAAATAAATTTAGATGATTAAAATAAATAGGACTTTGAATTATTAGTAATAAGAGAACTAAAGCTATGCGCTTGTGTATTACAGTACTGTTTTCAGAGTACATACACTTGTCAATATAAGGAGGACATTTGATCCCAAGGTTACACAATTTTGGCATGATACTTCTAGATTTATGAAAGTTGCTGCATTTTGGATGGGAAAAATGTGGGTCAGAGTTTATAACAAAAGGCAAATAATAAATGAAAAATCTAAGATAACACAGATATTTTGATTATATGACTATGTTTTTTATATTAAAATGCAGCTTTTGTAGTTATCTCAAATTTGTGCAAAATCAAGAATGTTGTATTGCATATCTAGGTGAACCAAGTCCTCCTTCTATACATGGACAACCAAGCAGTGGGAAGAGCTTTAAACTCAGCATCACCAAACAGGATGATGGAGGGGCCCCTATTTTGGAATATATTGTGAAATACAGAAGTGTAAGTGCTTTGCTTCTTTTTACTTTATGTCACTTTTCTTTCATTGGATTAAGATATTAAGATGTGAATTGAGTTCACAAGATAGAACGCATTTTAAAAAAAAAGAAACAGCAAGAACGTGTCAATTTATTGTCTGCTTTCTTTCAGTAAGTTAAATGTTTAATTGACACATCCTAATTATACATATATATGGAGTAGAGTGTAGCTCTTCAATACATAAATACAATGTATAATGATCAAATTACCATAACCATGATCCATGATCACAATGTAAATTAACACCTTGTGGTAGGAATATTCAAAACATTCTCTTAACTTTTCTGAAATATACAATTAATTATTTTTAGCTATAGCTACCCTAGTGGGCCAAAAACACTGGAATTTATATCTCTTATCTGATTGTAATTTTGTGTTGGTTAATTAACATCTCTCTCCCCCTTCCTTCCCCCTCCCCCGCCACCTACTACTAGCTTGTACTCATCACTGCTCTACTCTACTTCTTATCATAAAATGGTGGTCATCATTTTGGTTTCTACATATGAATAAGAACATACGATTTTTCTCTTGTGCCTGTGTTAGTCCACTTAACCTAGTGTCCTCCACGATTGGTCATGTTGTCTCAAAAGACAGGATCTCATTCCTTTTGATGATTGATTAGTTTTGTGTGTGTGCATGTGTGTGGGGAAGAGAGAGAGAGGGAGAGAGAGAGGAGAGAGGAAAGAGAGAGAGAGTTTTCTTTGTCCATTTATCTGTTGATGGGCAATGATTCTACATCTTGGCTATTATTAATAGTGCTGCATTGAACATTGCGGTGCAGAAATCTCTACTCTATACTGATTTTCTTTCCTTTGGATATAGCCTAGTAGTGGAATTGTTTGATTACATGGCAATTCTATGTTTATGTTTTTGAAGAAACTCCATTCTGCTTTTCAAGATATCTCTTCTAATTTGCATTGATGTCAACAATGTGAAAGAGTCCCCCTTTCTAAATAAACCAGTTGCATTATCATTGCCCCACCACATGGTCTCCAAACACATGAGTTTCGAGGGATAATAAAAATGGTAATTTGATTTCGAATAGTGTACTTTAACAATATTTACCTGTCAATTCATTCTTGGAAATTTAAAATTAATTTCCCCTTCACAGGAAACTCTTTGCCCAGGTCTCACACTGGCCAGGATGAGTGGCCACGTGTGTCTTTTGACTACTCTGTTGTGAGTGCTTCATGCTGTACCCCAAGACAACTCTAAAAGACTCATTTGTCTCTCAGTGAATCTGGCGTTGCTGTGCTACTCAAGTCAGGTCTATTGGCCATTCCTATTTGCATATTTGGGAAAGTCTCTTCAAGGGAGAAAATTTCTCTACGAAGCAAAGGTGTGAGTCAAATTTATGAATTTGACTGGGAGAACAAGCCTTCCACACTATTGTAGTACACAATCTTATCCAGAATAATTTATGATGCAAAACCCAGGTATATAGTAACAATTTGTAAGGGATGACAAGAAAATCCCCCAGTGAACACTAAATGCAATGACTAGTTGTGGCAAAATGTGTAATATATTTTAGGTGTCTATTTTTTATTTAGAACTAGAAGCTATTCTTATCATGGCATTTCTAAAGAGTTGATACTGAAAATAACATATACTATATTCAATTAAAACAATTGTTGATTTAAATTGATGATAACAAATATTTGTTTCCTGTTACATATTTTTATTAGTGGCTTTTATTAACCACACATGTGCATTTTAGGAATGTTGTGCTCTTTTCCACTGTGTTTCTATTTCCAGTCATCCAAAAGTGAACTGTAAAAACCAGTGCAAACTGCTGCCCACAGCATGTATCTTCCTCAAAATAGAAAACAAATTTAGGAAATAATATTACAAACTCACTCAGAAACGTATTAATATCTAATTTGCAGAAAGTGATCTGTATACATTTTACTCATAAGATCAATACAGAGATGATTTATTTGTCGAACTTACTTTTGAATTTCAAATGACAGAAAACGTGACTAAATAATAGTAATCCTAGAAGATTGTGTTTTTTCACATTAAACAAAGTTATGTGTTAGGTAATTGGGGTAGCATCTCAGCAATAGAAGTAGAAATTCTAATTACTTTTGTTTACATTCTTTCTTCTTTAACATATTGCATATTATCTTCACAATAGCTTATTTTGTGAATTATTCTACGAAGGTGACTTTCATATCCAGAATATGAAGAGAGTGAAAAGAATAAAAAATGGCAATATTGTATTCAGCTGAGTTTGTTCTTATTTCTACAATACATTATTTTATTTATTTATTTTTTTTTGAGAGGTTTTTGCTATAGGGCGTGTGCGCTCGCCAGACAGACAGAGAGAGACAGAGAGATAGAAAGCGAGAAATCACCCCCCAGAGGGGATGGCCACCCCGCAATCCCTTCTCCTCCATTCTCCTCTCGGGATCTTGGGCACACACGCACACGCGCCCGGTGTGAGTTTAAGCCATCGGGTCCGGGACTCGAACCGCGGTCGACTACGTGGGAGTCCAGCGACATTGCCATTACGCTAACTACTGGTCCCTACAATACATTATTTTTTAAAAAACCCTGTCAATCAAAATAAAACATACTACTAAGTAAATATATATTTTATTGAGCTCCCCTCAATAAAAAGGGGGTTAACATGAGGATTTGAGTTAGGTAATGAGTGTGGTTTACCGCAAATTGTTAATGTCATTACTTTTATTTTTTAATGGCTGTCTTTAGTCATATGTGCCACAAAGTCACATTACTGGCGTTCTGAGTAATGAAATAGTGGGATATCCGGAGCTCCACTACCCAAGGCACAGCCCTTCCAGTCACTGGCTCCTGTGCAGTATATTGCCAGTAACAGCCCCAGTCACTGCAGAAAAGAACATTTTTCTTTAAATAGCACTACACCGGTTTAGAGCCAGTTTGATTCGCAAAATGTAAAAAAGTGACAATTTAGAAATCCAGTAACATTCTCTCTCTCTCTCTCTTTATATATATAAATATATATATATATATATATTTATATATATAAAGATGTATATGTGAAACACATTTGGATAAAAATAAGTAAATTGTTAAACATATAGAGATTAGTAGAATTGGAGAAACTAAATTTTACCTAATGGTCATTAGTACATTTTATCTTTGTACTTACTTGATATAGAATAGTTGATATGAGAAAATTGATATGGCTCAGTCTTAGATTAATTAAAATTTGAGCAAGAGAAGAACAAATTTTATCTTAAGTAAATTTCTGTCTTCCATGTTATCACCTTTCTTTTTCTCCTCCCAGTATAATTTAATAATGCCTTATTGTTGCTCATCATTTACCTGAAGTCTGCGTTGTCCTGGTGCCTCCCCTAACCCCCACCCAGATCTATCTCATTTCCGGCTTTCATATCCTCCTCTTAATTTCCAGTCTACAACCATGTCTAACTCCAAAGAGTACTAGAGAACCTGATTTTAATATTATAATTGAAATGGTTGGTTGCATTTATTCTAACAGAGCTATAATTAACTGACAATCAATGACTATGTTTCTTGTTTCATAGATGCTAACATATTAACAGGTAATATGAGTTTTGTTTGGTTTAATTTGACAGAGTGTGTGTGTGCTTGCCAGAGTGAGACAGTGAGAGGGAGGGGAAGCAAGGAAGCACTCCTCATGGGGCATGGCCACTCTTCAATGACCCCTTCTCCATTTTTCTTCCTTTTCAGGGATTTTTGGGCATGAGTGCACACAAAATCAGTGTGTTTCTTGAGAAACACATTGCCAGATCTAAGACATGAATGACATAGTTGGTCATGTGGGATCCAGCCTCCTTAACTACCAGGCCATGGGCTTGCCCAGTAACAATATTTTAATAGTAGAGCTTTAGTCATTTATGTTGAGTTATATAAAAGCAGTTCCTCGATATGTTTTGTCTTTTAAGAAATCATTATCCACTCTTGGAGATTATTTTATCTTATATTTAACTGAATATAATGTGATACTTTCTCACATTATTTTATGGAAAATTGAAACTTGGAGAATTTGAATGACTGTGGGGAAGGGGAGCAGGTATTACAATGTAAGACTTATAGGCTAAACCTGGTTTGCAGCATTAGTGGCCAGATATCAATCTGCCTACGGAGACGATAGCAGCTTCTTAACCATTATCTCATCTCCCTCCAACTGCCCAAACCCTCTGCCTACAGATACAGCCATTCTAATATACTTTCTCTTGACTGTACGTATCATATAATAGTAAGCCTTCTACTTCAATCATGATAATACACTACATGTCCCTAACTCTTTTCTTCTCTTTTCACACCTTCCATTTTATCATCATCATGTCCTGAATGTTCCCTTAGAGATAAGGGTAGGGTTATGATTGAATAAAGAGTTGTAGAAGTGTTGTCAAATAATAACTGATCTCAGAAAGGAATAGTTTTTCTCAACATTGTCTGTATCCATTTTTAGAAATATGCATTTTAAGAACATTTAGAAACTAAAGTTTTATACTGGCATTTGGCTTGGTATTCTACACTTGTATTAAAATAATTGCCGTTTCAAAAAGTTCTTGATCATCTGTTCTCCTTGTGTGATTCCAAATCAGTTCATCTATTAGTTTTTCAAACTGAATAAATTCCATACTGGAATAAGTGCAACTGAATACCTTGAAACATGACTTAGATATATGCAATGTTTGTGTGTGTGTGTGTATATGTGTGTGCATTTAAAGTTTTTGCAGTAGAGTGTGTGCACTTACAACACAGACAATGAGAGGGAAAGTGAGAATCCCCTCACACAGCCCAGGGAGGATGGCCATATTGCAAATCCTACTTCTCCATTCACCTCCTAGTATTTTGGGCACGCATTCACATGTGCCTGATGTGTTTCAAGCTGCTAGGTCTGAGACTCAAGCCACAGTCATCCAGCACCTTAGTCAGCATGCCACCTGCTCACCCCAGCAATGCATTTTTAAGTTATATAAATTCTA